GGGAGAAAACAGACAACTGAAAGATCAAAATACGAAGCATAATGAAATGGGGACATTATTGAAATGGCCTTTATAAAGGCCAAAATACACTGTTATGGTTTTCTTGATTGTAGGTTTCAGGTATGACTGACAAAGGAGACTTAGACATTGCAATGCTGAGCTACGACCTACATCCTCTTCAGGTATGATGGCACCAGTGGATTTCACAGCAATCACTTGTGTGACCACATTGTCCTAAATGTGACTCGTGTAGAGCAAGCCACCTAAGGAGTAAGACTTGAGATGGCAGCCTGCTGCTGGTGAAGAAGTTGACTAAGAAGCTAGCAGAAAACACTAAAAATGCTGAATAGAGGTAGCCAGGTGCTTGATCTCAGGCTTCATGTAGTATCTGTCCTACACTGTGGTTTCATAATTGTGAATCTCTTCTAAGATGGATCTGTTTAAAAAAGGCTCCACCCCTCTAATGTTAAGAATTTGAGTGCTCACCTGATCTAAGAGAGATGATACACATTTCAATTATTCCTGTTTCATAAAAAGTGTGAACTTGAAACTCCCTCACTCAGCTCCTAGACAGAGTTAGGCAGGCAGGAGCACAGCCCTAAGCTCTGCTGTTGGGATCGTTGGGTCAGTGTGAACTACAAGGGGTGCTTAGACAAACACCTTAGATGCAGACACCCCAGTTAACCAAGATGAATCATAACCTGTATGTCTTAGTGGCAGCTAGTTGCCTGAGACCTTCCTCTGTTCTACAGTAGGTCTCCTCAAAACTCTTAAATTTCTCATTTCTAGACAATTTTTCGATCCTCTGCATCACTGGCATGCTCATTAAGCTCTATGATTTTTCCTTTTCTTTTAAAAACTGTTGTCATCAGAACCAAACACTGTATATGAGTAACAGTCTCACTACAACCCTTTATGAACACAATAACATCTTCCTTCTCTTACTCAGTATTCCCTGTAGCCAAGGGCTGCGTTAATCTCCTTAGACACAAAATGACTGGGAGTTAGCGCTGTCTTGGTTACTTACAGAAAGTATTTGCCTCTTTCTAGATGAAAGAGAGTCTAGAAGAAGAGTGTCTTTCTTTCTGTGTTGTCTATCCTTCTTCCAAGACATGTACTTTTCAGCTGTACTAGCAGGTATGATAGTCAAATAAGCCCAGTTTACCAAGCAATCCTTCTAGATCAGTGAAAAAATTATTGAAGCGGACTGAATCAAGAGGCCTGACAGCCTCCACTCACAAACATCTATTTGATGATAATTCCCCATGACAAGTACTTTTTGAGACAACTTATACTGACCAACTTTTAACATTATACACATGTATAATCTATGTATTTGAAATGATCACTCATTGGAACTTAATTTTAGCATAATATTTTTTATAGCAAACTTTAAGTCATATGTCAAGCTTATATAGGAAATAAGCTTGGTAAATTAGAAGTCACTCTTGACCTCTCACCTTACGCATAAACAAGCTCAAGCTTATAGTTTTGCAAAGAGTCAGAATAAATGTATTATGAAGCTATAGATATTCATTTTCTTAATGCATATATTATTTCTTTTACAGTGCTTCAAATTTTGTTACAGGTGAAAAGTGGTAAGGGAAAATGGAGTCCCACACTATGAAGTAATTTAATTTGTCTCTTAACCAGTTTCTGTAGGATCACTACCACTATTGCTCTAGGGTTGTTTCTACTCCAGATAGGTCTGTGTGGCCAAGAATACTGACCTACACTGGGCACCATTTAGCACTTCTTGGAGCAGGTGGATTTTTCACAGACACAATTTGAAATGGAAGGATGTAGTAAGATCAGCTCTCAAGACTGGAAGGCTAGGCGATCATTTCAGCAAACTGCAAAGAATTATACCCAGACTCTTCAATGAAGTTACAATGAAGAAAATCAGGTGGTAAAATAGGCTGTGTCATTCAGCCATGCACTACCTAAAAAAAGACCTGGCTGATAACTGGCTTTGACAGCGCTGACATCCTTACGTACTACACATGACATTTGCAGAGTCAGGAATCTGCTTTGGTGTATTTGGAAATGTGATGAAATATTGACATCTGGTGCAATAAAGATCCCCAAAAAGAAAAACTGGAGGTATGTAGCTAGCCAAGACCATGCACTGGGTGTCCTTGTAAGGCTACAATGCAAAATATGAAACCTTTTTCTAAGCATTTTAGCCTGCAACTGCTATTTGGGGATGAAAACTCGATCCCTGTTTTCTGAGAAAGCATGGCTGTTGAGGAGGATTGTATCCTCATGGCTAGGGCACTCACTAGAAGGGAAACCTTGACCCTAGAACAATCTCCACTTATGGCAGTTTGGACCTGCATTGTAGGACCATGCTCTGAACACCAGCCTATACAGGACTCTGCTTAGAAACACTTTTCCCTCCCTGCTGAAGCTGAACAACTGTGCACTGCATGTGAATGCCAGGGGCCTTCTCATGGGGAAAGAGGTATGGATTTTTCTACTTCCTTTTTCCAGAAAGGCATCAGTTGCACAAGATGTTTGGGCAATGTTCATTTTTAAAAAGGCTGAGAAGGTCTATAAGAGGTTCAGCAACCAGTCCACAATTCCACATGCAACTGATATACTGGGCAACTGAGGCAGATCCCGCATGTCCAAATATTCTAAACTGGCTGCTGATTCCGGAGCATTTTTATTTTTGTATGTCCACTCTGTCACAGAACAGTCATGTCCTAAAAAAGAGATCTTGTGTAGAAGCCAGTCCTCAGCATCCCTCCTGAGGTCAAGAGGAAATGTGAAAATTCCATTTATTAAGGCTAGACTCAAGCGGCCTCCTGCTGTGCAACCGCAGCCAGAGGCTAGTGTAGGAAATGTTGACTTTAGACTCTTATCTCAATTGCAATTTGTGTCTAAAAACATTCAGACACCTCTGTAAAACATTCAGGTATCTTTGAAACATTCTTCATATCTTCTGTCATGTTAGTGTTATTAGCTAGATACATGCATACAGATGACTCACAGCTGAACTAAGCCACAAATCCTCTGAGGTTTTTTCACATCTGTGTGCATGGACAGCTTTGGTTTTACCTCTAACCTTTCTATTTTTGCCCACAGGCTCCCTCAGGCTTCCCTGCGTAGGCAATGCTTGGCCTGAATCTAAATGCACTTTTGGTATAACTCCACGAGCCAGCCGTGCTAGGCGCTCGCCAGCCACGAAGGTGATGATTTCTCCTTTGGGTGGAAGGGCACTCTGGCTAGATCAGCACTCAGAAACACGTTTATAAACAGCCAGAAAAATCTCCCATCTGTCTTGATACAGGTATCAAGAAAGAATCTGAAGTAACAAAATTTACTTTTAAGTTTTACATATTTCCCTGGGTATTACAGAAACTAGGATAGACTATGTATTTTCATAAACAGCAGACCAAGAAGGAAAACACACACTTTGCAACGAACCATCTGTCAAGGGAAATCCAGATGAGTTAAGCAGATGCAGGAATTCAAGTTATTTTTGATGTTCATAGATAAAAGCAGCTATCAAAACAGGATAAAAATGTTTAACACTGAGTAGATGCTTGCTAGGAGTTCCTAGATGCAAAGAAATTTGAGCAAAATGAGGTACTCAGTTACCAGTAAAAATAAGATATGCTTTTGATAGTAAATTTAAAATTACACTGAAGCATATCAGCTACAGGCTGCAGATGTTAATTTAATATTACTGCCAACTTACAATATTCAGAAATCACAAGTCAGGCCTAAGAAAGCATGTTATTATTTTATAGTAACAAGATGGGTTAAAAATAATATACTTAGTACTGTTTTATTTATCTGCTTTTTTAGACGTGGAGTTATGCAAAAGCAACATTTCATTTTTTTTCTCTGCAATCATGAGCTATGTTTTATGAAAGCTGAAATTCTCATGTAGTCACTGAATTCAGGAGAAAAAAAGAAAAGCAACTGTCTTAAGACATGATAAAATCAGGAGAGTTGGCAACACAGAGCATGCAACTGAAATCCTTCATCTGTACAGAACTTGCACGAAGCCATTAAGCACACACCAACAGAAGGGTGGTTTAAAGTCCTTTACTCCTCTGAATCCCCCTTTACTTAGAGCTGCTTCTTTGTGGGACTGGTGCTCATTAGAGCAACGTAGCACCAAATAGGGCTGCTCAGGGGAGTCCTAGGGCTGTTCTGCTTTATATCAATCAACAGTGACCAAAACAGACTATAAACGAACTTACGAAGAATAAAATTTACCAGGAAAAAAGATGGTAAATGTTATTTCAGCCATGCTTTCTTTCACCTTGCTATTTGGGAGAAAAGGGTTTCCAGTTTCTACAAATCAGGGTGCAGGTTATATATTTACAGCCTGACTTTATCCCTATAGAAAGTACTAAAATAAACAATATTCAGGCCTTAGTCTTCTTTTCCTGCTTGTTACTAAAAAGATGTCCTATGGTTAAATTTAACATGCTGGATCCCATATATTAAACAGGACTTAAATACAGCAGGCTTCCTGACATTATCAGTGTCCTACCCCCATGTCACGTGCTGCAGTTGCATTCATGTGCTTCACTCCCTACCCTCATTTTAGATTGGATTACACTCATCTTGTTATATATATATTGAACCAGTTCTTTCTTTCTTTTATTAGCTCCTTGATTTGAGTAGAAAATTACAAGTATCTACGCATCCACACAATAACTTGAGCTTGAAAATGATCCAAGATGATACCCTAACCTGAGACAAGAACTGATGGCAAGAACAGATGGTTCAAGCAAAACTTACCCAAAGGGAGGTTCTTGTGCCATGTGTTATGGCTGTTTATTAGATCTCCTAAAGGGTGGTGTAGCACCGAGATAAAACAGGCACTCAGTAGACAGAGTACGTGACATGCAGTCAAATGGATTGATTTGTCTAGTGAATCTAATAAATGGATCTTGTTAATGCTGAGCAGGGAAAAATATTCCTCAGCCCCTATTCATTAGCTCATCCTCATTAAAAGAGCGCCTTCTCGCCAGAAAATCAGAAAGGCCTCCAGTCCTCTTTGCAGAAGACTCTTCAATGCATAAATATTGGTTTCTCTCGGTTGGCCTGTTTTCAAACAGCAGCACTGCTAGCAGTTGTATTTCTCATGCCTAATTTATGTTATTTGCTGTTGCTTATTCTTTGCTCTTCCCTGATTATCATCAATATCCCTGTCTCTTCTACAATGCAGAACTGTTCTTTGCTCTTCAGTCCCTCTTCTATCACCCATTGTTTTTAATCTACATCAATTACACCCTGAGTTTCTGTATCTGATGGCGCAGCCCACCCTACCATGCCTCAGTCATTGTTTGTGCTCCTCTGTGCACCCATTCCACTACTTCTCCTTATACAATGGAATAACTGCAAGGCATCTGGGAGCCTTGTGGGACTGAGCCCCTCCAAATTCATGCTCTAGTCTTGAGAAGTAGAAAAAAAGTCTTTTTTACTATACCTGAATACCATGCCTATAATTCACAGCAAATATGTCATGCTTATACTCTTTTTTTTCCTCTTCTTTCCCTTTTTGGTCACTTGGGAGATAAAAATGTGTTTATTATGTTCACATCCCATCTTCTCTCACCCTACATCTTCTAGTCGCTGACCGTGAGGTCATTTACTTCATCTTGTTCCATAAACCACTAGTGGCTCAAACAGTCTCACTCAGACGTGCCCCAGCCCTTCTTTCTTCTTGCTGGCTGGCTGTTCTCTCTCAGTATTCTAGCAGGGCACTTACATCCAGTTTTGAAAAACCTTCCATTCCTCCAGCTGTATTTCCTACTGGCCCATTTGCCTTCCCTCATTCAATAGTGAGCAGGTAACTTTTGCTCTTTTTCTCTTCTTTTCTCGTTTCTAATCTGATCACTCAGATTTCTACCCTCTCTGCTGAAAATGCCTTTTCTGAGGCCTCATTCAGCCTGTCCTGGGTTCATCCTTCGTTCCTCCTCATCACATTTTCTTCCCTTGGCTTTTGCTGCCTGGTGAGCTTGTGACTCACCTGCTAGCTCTTGGCCTTATCTTTATATCATCTCTGAATGCTCCTTTTGTCCCTGGTCTGCAGGGGTTTCGTATGCTGTGTCATTGGATGCCCTCATCTATCTTATTCCTGTATGGTATCATGTGCTGTTATTGTTTATATTAGCAGCTAAAGACCCCTGTCAATTCACACCTGCATTCTTTTGCTATCCATTATTACCCAGCTTTTCCCAATGCAGAGAGACGGACTATGGTCAGTCTGCATAGCTTGCAGGTAAAATCCAAATATTTATTGCTATTTAACCTTCTTCTCTTTTTCATTCCCTACTGTTATTAAAATACTGTCTCACAGTATGCAAGGATCAGGTACTTTTTATCTGTATGTACCATCCCTTTGAATAACTACAATTCTATTTTATTTGAGGTTATTTAACTGTCTGCTTCTGGTTAGATGACTGATGAAAGTATGGTTATGAGTGGCCTTTGCCAGATGAGAATGACCAGAGTTATGAAGAGATATTAGCATAAATCATAGCAAAGGCATCTGAAAGCATAAGAGATTTGAAAATGAAATAATCCGCTAATTCCCCTGGAGAGTAATTCTAGATAAAAGATCTCTGAAGCTACACTAGGTATTACTTAGTGTCACAAGAAGTTGCTGAAATCCATGAAAAACAGCAGGCCTGCCTGATTTGTAAGATACAGGTTCCTCATTTCCCTGAGATGTTTATAGATGGATGATATGGATATGAACAGATAAACAGATAGAAAAATAGTAATCTGGGATACACACACACAAAAAGTATGTGGTTAAGAACATGTTAGGATACCTTTATTACACAGAAGCAGTTCACTGTGTGACTGTGTCACAATCTGTAAGATTACATACCTGTTATATGAATGTGATATTCCTCTTTGAAGATCTTTTGGAAATAAGGTACTTTGAACTGCATGTGTGCAGATGGTAAGCCTGGAAGATTCACTTCAACATCACCCATAAAATGTGGAAACTCCCAGTCCTGTTAAAAAAAGAAAAGTAAGAGCCTAAATATAAGCTTTCACGGGATATTTTTGCCCTTTAAAATGGCTTAAATTAATAAAACGGAAAGGTTCTATTTTTAAGCTTCCCATTATTGGATTATCTTACTTTAAGTTTGACTGAGCCACTTGAAATAAAATACCTTGTTTATATTAGATATTACAACATGATTTTTACTTCAGCCCCATGTAATTATGTGTTTAAAAGTTCACCTCAGAATGACAATATTGAACCTACTGTACCAGCTGATAGCACAAAATAGTCTAAGCATATGAACACCTACATAGCAATCTTGCAATACTAGTTACAACTTCTGTTACTAATTTGGCAAACAGTTTACAGGTAAGAAATTGGCAGAGAAGGCCTGACCCTTTCAAACATTTCATATGTCTGTATTCTACTTGTTCAACTTACAGGGTGTTTTCTGGTTTTGGCCTTCTAAATAAACACTCCCTGCAAGTGTAGGCTTTTCAGCATAATCTCCCTGAATCAATGTGAGCAGTTTTCTCCGCTTTATTTCAGCTGACAAGTTAATGCTGGAAATGTGGAAGCTCTCACCTATCGTTATGCATGTTTTGCTAGCATGTGGTAACCCAGCTGAGGAGGAACTGCATTTAAAGGAATTTTTCACTTGGTTATCTGCACCCACCACCAATCCCTTGAAAATGGGTATAATAGCATGGCTCGTTAGAGCCAAAACTGAAAGTCTAGCAATAGTGCTACAATCAGTACGATTAGTGCCAGAGTGGTTATTCTGTGTGCTGCAGACTTAGTGATCTGTTGTTAAAAACATACTGGCCCTGTTCCCATGCATACCCCTGGATTTGTATCACACAAGTTAGTGCAACAAGCACGTGAATTCCTAAAAGTAAGATAAAGGAATCTGAAATGTGAGGAGCTCTGTGAGTGACTTGTGCGTCCTTCACATGGAAACCATTCCAGCATAGCCGTCTCCCCAGGAGAACCAAATCCATTTTTTCTTTTCAGTTTTGTAAGGCTGGAAAGTTTCCTACCAGGGTAATAAAAAAAAAAAAATATTCAAAACCAAGAATCATCTCTGAAAGATAGATCACTATATATAACTTAACTTCCAAGAATTGCTAAGCTCTCCAACATTTTCTACAGTGGAAGGGAAATGGAAGAGTTTTATCAGCAGGGGATATCATGGCCCAAACACTAACAGCAGCTGATTTGTGCTAGCTCTTCGTGATGCTGAGTTAAATGGATTAAAACAGGAGTACAAGCAAGGAGAAAACCTGACCCTCTGTACCTGGTTCTCAATGTTCACAGTGATACAGAAAGTACCAACTTACAGATGCAGAAGATGATAAGAGACATAAGGATGCTCTCCATTTGCCTTATCACTAATGCAACGCATGCACTCCTGGTCACAAGGTATGGTAATAACTGCCCACCTCCACAATCCCTTACACTGCATCTGCGACCATCCCCTTGCCGGCAGTAGACATTCAAAAAGTGCCCAAAGATAAAAATTTTATGGGTCTACACTGTCAGTTCACAGTATCTAATATACATCTCTGGACTGGTGTCTCATGTTAAGTCATACATACTGTCACCCGGGAATAAATAGGAAGAAATACATTACATATTCCGGAAGATAAACAAATGAAGAGCTGTGGACTCTGCATTAGAAATAAGTAAACATGGGACTATAAATCTGGCCTCCTGCTCTTACCTTGCCCCAATGCTCCTACTCTGCCTTTTGCTGATTTACAGATAAAATTCCACCGTACAGAATTTTGTATTGGACTGTGTCTTTGCATCTGAGTTTTATAAAAAAGTTCAGCATTTTTTTCGACCTGTATGAATACTACCTGATAATGAGTAACTAGAATGCCAGCTCTGGCAGATCTGCAATTTACTGTATTATTTGTCTCAACAAACAACTACCGAGACTGGAAAATATTTCATAAAACAAAAGCGAAGCAGAGAGATCCAACCCCAAGAGTGTGCTACTGTTTACATTATAACAGACAGCTGAGTGGACAGCCCATTAGAAAAATACATATTTGACACTCCAAACTGTGGCTACCTTTCATGTGTACATTATTTCACATTTTCTACATATATACTTTATGTGTATATATGTACATAAGATGTACTTATGTACATCTACATATATACTTTATGAAGCATGCCTGAATTGTATCATGACCTCTGTTACCCTGTAGTGCCGTAATATGGTATTGCTGTTGCTAGAGAGATGGGCACAGGCTGGCACTGGAGACCTCGCAGCTATAAACAACTCACTAGTGCTCAGCTAAAAAATGCAGATCCGGGGCTGGACAAAACTGCTTTTAGGGGTAACAAGGAGAACAAAGAAGTATCTCACATATGTGAAAGGCACTGTGTCTAGTAAACCTGGCTGTAACGTGGAGCTTCAGATCAGTGAACAAACAGCAACGTCTAAAAGTGTGTTAGCAAACATAAAAATGCCCGCAAGTATATCCCAGAGTGAGGAAAAAGAAACCATCCCAATGAACGTCATATCCTTCCTGGTAAAGGACTCCAGATGCCAACGACATGCCGTAATGCCCCCACCGACCCCCACCAGACTGAAACTGCCCATTTCAGGACCCGCAGGAGCAGAGGGAGGGTGGACAAAACACCAGGAAAAGAGGTAGAAGCCAAGAAGTGTGTGTATAACAATTTTGACATTATTATTATTATTATTATTATTATTGAAACTTTTTTCTGCACAGAAGCATTATTTTCTGTAATAATTACATCTCAACTAATAATGATTCTTGGATTACACTGTTAAAATTTAAATGATACTAATGATAAATTCTTGGCGTTATCTATAACGTGTTTCTTCTTTGCCCATAAATAATGTTTCAAATGTAACACCTTTATCAGTATGATTATAAAATCTGTTATTTAAGAACAGTCCCACCGGAAATACAGAAATAAAATTAAAAAAACCAACAACAAAATAGAACAAAACACAAAAAAAATTATTTGAAAGCAATATTAAAAAAAGGAAACTAAAATAATGAGTTAAAACCATTGACTTCCATGAAAGTCACTACAGCCACAGTACTTAGGAAAATGAAGCTTCAATTTAGGTGATTAAATAGCTTTCGGGGGAGCAGATGACTATTAACTTCTCGGGCTAATGCCAATAGCAGGTTGTCAGATCCAAACCCAACAAAGTGGACATTTTGCTATCTAGATTCTACGTAAGTGTTATCCAAAATCTTTTGACTCTCTTACCATTTTATTCCTTACTGACAAGCAAAAGGCAACTTAATTTCAGCAATATCCAGAAAACCATTTTTCCAAGAAATTCAAGGTGCCTAGTAGGAATAATCTACCTTATTTGTTAATAGGTACATTAACGGTGCAAATGTACAAGCCCATAAATCTAACCGCTTCCCTCTCTGGAACAAAGCTCAGGTCTGCATCATGCTTTCATGTACAGTATTTTCTCTCCGTGGCCTCTGATATCAGTCTGTGCTCATCTCTGGGACATGAGTGACATATGCTATGTTCTTTAAGTTCTCAGCTCATAATTATGCAAAGTTCACTTGATCAGCCTTAGTCCTTATTGCTGAGGTGCCTGCACTCTACCATATCTGGGATCTCATTAGGAACTGGGCCCCAAATACAATATTTAGAATGTATCTCCACTTGCAGAGTTTGAAAAATAAAGCTATACAACCATACTGTTAGCTCATATTTGTATCTCTCATACTGCATGAACATATTGGTCCTTCTTTAAATCCATCAGCATCAAATTTCTAATATTCATCTACTTCAGCGGTTTCCAACCTGTGGGGTCTGCAGCATACTTCTGTGCAGTTTATGAAGAAGAAACCAACCCAGAACCAGCAGGCTTAAACCAGCTGCACAGAGGTCTCTAACCTCACCAGCAAGTTTTGTGGGATGTGGAAATTGAATGAGGTTATTGCCTCATTTCACTCTAGTCATGAGGAAAGGGCAGCCAGAGGATTAATTTAAGATCACTGAGGGGTTCATCCTAGTGTTGCAATGGGCAAAGGGAGCACCTCTGATTTCCATCAGCCACCTCATTAAACCCAGAAGCACAGACAAAACTGGATGCTGCAAAAGAGGAGATCATGGCATTTTGATTTTCTTCCCTTTGCTTCTAGTTCCCCACGCCAAACAAATGCACATGCTCTCTGCTGCAATGCCAGGTATTGGTTTAAGACCCTACAGTGGAGCTGGCAGCACTGATTTGGTATCTCTTTAAGTAAAGATATTTTTAGTAATGGTAACTGAGCATCAAAGCCACACTTCATGATATGATCTGGCCCTTCTCTGCCATCACCTGAGGAAAAGAGAAGGCGTTGCCTGGGGAAGCCCTGTCCTGACCCTGAGCCAGGACCCGCAGCTGCCCTGGGGCTCCCGGCCAGCTGCCAGCAAGGCAGCCCAGGGGCACGTTGGCAACCCCTGGCTGACTGCAGGATTGCTCCTTGCTGCTTGGTGTTTCGCGTTGCAGGCTCTGGGCCATGTCTCCCAACCCCAGAGGACCAGGACCAGGTGCCAGCAGGACTAAGCAAGGATCATAAGCTGTCTGGGAGGGTGACGCTAGCCCTCAGCAGACCGCACCCCACGCTTCATGCATGTACAACCCCACGTCCCTCAGCCACCAGCCCCTTTCCACCCAGGGAAAACGGCCACAGAGAACGTGGGATTGGGGCTAAAACCCAGTAACGATTAATGGTAAACAAATGTGCCATGCTTTCATCTCTCCTCCTGTCTGAATGTAGCTCATAGGGTGTTTGGTACACAGTAAATATGCAATAACACTAAAACTAATATAAACACTGTTCAGATATAATCATGAAAGAGGACAAATGCACACTGAATATTTCTGCTTTAAGTAGTGATGATATATGCTATATTTAATGCTAGGAACACATTTGTACTTCAAACCCCTCGGAATAATAAATAACCAAAAACAGACAGAAGGAACTGAGAAAATGCATATAT